ATCTTTTACACATTTGGTCTTATTTTGAAGGATTTTTCAGTGCATGTTATTTGTAGGCCTTCATAATGAAAATATAATAATTTGCTCCGCCTCTGAAACATTTTCCTTTTTGGCTGATGTCATCAAGCCCTCTTATTTTTCAAGTCCTCCTCAACCACCTGTCACACATCCTGCCCATTTAGCTGCGCTGCTCCGTTCCAAGGAGGTGACATCATGAAAAAACTGATTGGCTAATGATACCACACCATTAGAATTGACTATCCTGAGCTGTGATGTCAAAAGCAGTTGACAGGGAAAAATATGGTTTTATAGACTTCTTCTATTCCTTATTTTCCTGTTAATTGCTTTTGCAACTGCCAGAGTCCCACCTCTATTTTTTATGGACTCTATACTTTTATATACAAGTAGTTTATAGACTTATTTAAATAAACAAATTAAATATGGTTATATTTCAATTAAAGCTATTTAAATGTTAATCATTTAAGAACATTTATTTCAATATGTTAATTTTATATTTCTTTTTTGTTTGTCTTCCAGCTTCACATGTAAATAAAGTATGGCACAATATGGAAGTAAAATTAGTTGAAAATGTCATTTCATGTTGACTTCACAGGTGCGTGTGGTAATATTCCCTCAGTTTAAAAAAAGTAAACAGAATATGTTTAACTTTTACCTTTAAATAGTATCTTTGTAATGATGTTTAAACACTCACATGAGACTCCAGTTATATCAAAGCCTATTAAAAGCAGAAATTAAAATGCATTTTAATGTACTTCTCTTATGTGTTTGTAATAGTTGAAACTGGAAAGATGGCATTTGAAAATAGGGTGATCACAGGGTGTATGTATGTTTTAACAGGTGTCTCTAAGCCATGATTTGACCACTTAATGTTTGGGGGAGGCAGCAGGTCACCAGTAGTGATGGTTATTCTGCTAATTGTCTCAAGAGTATATAACTGCGGTAGTAACCTGCTCTAGACAAGGCTTTGTTGATTAGAAACCAAGCCCTAGTGCTCAGAGTGGTTGTGTTTTAATGGCAGACGCTCCATGGCTACAGCTGGACCCTCTGTGGAACTCCTTGGTAAAGGACAGAGCATCGCAGGGGGTCCAACTATCATATTGTAGTCTCTTTGTCAGATGTACCATATACGTGTGTGTGTGTGTGTGTGTGTGTGTGTGAGAGACTGGCTTTTTTGAACTTCCAGTAAAAAGTTCCCATTATTGTTTTTTACATCATTTACATAAAAATATAAAAGTAGGAGTCAGGTATCAAAGTAAATAAATAACATTTATGCACGACAATAAAACAACTCTGAGATTTGAATACTTTGTTTGCTTTGTTCTAGCACCAAAACACCTTGATGGTTGAGGCTGTGAGGAATGTTTGTTTAAAATTTAATCAGCTTGCTGCTCGCTGTCAATCCGTGAAGAAGAGAGGTCGGAGCATGTCAGGAAAGGGCACTTTTCTCATTAGGGCACAGCCCAGAAGCAGTGATGCTGAAACACTACCAATAGACAAAGAGATGAAAACAAGGAGAGAGAGACCGAGTGCAGGAGAACAGAAGGACGGGGAGGGAGGAGGAGTTCACAGAGAGATACAATATGCTCCAGTACCCCCACTGGTTCAGCCGCTACACTCTCAGCCCTGGCTGTTTGTGTTTACATGTGAAATTGAGTGATGTGCCAGTGCCAGCGTGAGGAAGGGTGCTGGGTCTGAAGCAACGCAGGGGTGCTTGCTAATGAGAAGCTAAAAGCTCAAAGCAGAAGACCTGATGAAACAGAACTGAGGAAACATTCTTCACAGTAGAAACAACCCACTCTGAATCCTCAAATGCAAAACAGAAATGAATACTCATAACTCGCCTTCAGGAATTTGTCCATGTTGCAGGAAAATTTGTTCTGCCGTGTTCCTGTACCTGAAAGAGCAGTGGCGTAAGGCCATTGGTTTGATTCCTAGGAAGAGACAAACCTAATAAGACATAAACTGGAAAAACCCCTCTTTGTGCCAGATTGGCCTGTCTATCGCCATCTGTGGTTGAAACATAAAATTGCTAATTAATTGCATTTTTAATGCTATTTTGCACAGAAGAATATGATTTTTGTTATATGTTTTTTTAGTTTGTGTTTGCCCGTGATAACCAAGACCGCGAACAGTAAGAAGACTTTGATTGCATATATTTGAAAAATATGTTATATGAGACAAAATGTGAATGAATACACAAGGACAAATGATGTAAATCTGAAATCCATTCCTGCAGCTCCAATTACAAATTATTATTCTATGCTAACAGTAATGAATAAGGTTTAGGCAAGAACATTATTTTTAACACTGAACAAATGCATGTTAATAATTTTGAAATAGTATATAAAATAGTTTTGACCTATTTACATCTCAATCTTCCAGTCTTTGGTGGAAATATCTGGTTCTGCTTCCATACAATCAACAACCAATGAGTAGAACATCCATAGAACAGTCCCCATCTTGCTTTTTTTTTTTTTTTTGAAAATCCATTTTACTCTTATGTACATCACAATATGGAAGAAATTATCTGTTGCTACTTCTATTTTGACGAGACTTTAATGTTGCATGGTAGTTAACTTTACCTGCTTTAGTTGGTCCAAGCTCTTTTAGATGGTTGACCAAGTACTCTATAGCAGCTGGCTGGGCCTGACTCAGGTAATGCACAAACTTGATGAAACTGGTTATGTTTGGTAGACCAGCTTGGACCAGCAATAAAGCACATTTAAAATACAAGTTTGACCTTATACTGACTTGTTTTTTTCAGCAGGGTTGTGAAAAAGATGAATTGCAGTGTTATTTAATAGGGATTAAATATGATGTCTTGTCGTGAAGCACGCAATTTCCACACCTAAAAGAATGGCATTGACATAGACGTGATGTTGTTAAAAAAAGAGAGATGTTACAGACACAGTAAATAATAAATGAAATGTTTTAGACACATTTGTGGAAAAGTTGATTGAAATCACAGTGGAGTGATAAAGCAGAAAAATAGAAATAGTAGAGACAGATAGAGAGAGATTCATTCGATTTATGCCTTCCTTTCTGTGTCTCGCATCTCCTGCAGAGGCAATCAATGAGATATGTGTGAAAGCCTTTCTGGGAGCCCTTTTTCCCTTCCTTCTCTGAGAATGCTTTTTTTTCCCTCGCTTCTGCTTGCCTTCTTTGACTCGCACAAAACAAAACGACCAGTTACAGAAGCACCACTGTGTGAGTTTAAGCCGCCAAACACCACCCGGAGATCCTTCTGAGCTCGATGATGCTAGATTAGCTGGAACAAGTATATCAGTAGGACACAAAAAGAACACAGAGGGGTAAGTGAGAGAGGACGCAGGAGGGGCCCCGGCCCTCTTGTTATGCTAAGAGTGTTCCGAACGGTCCCGCTTGGTTCAAGTTAATTACGACCAACATTTAAATAAGAGCACTTGTCTTGAGGACGGTGGTTGGCTGCGGGAGAGACAGACCTCGTGCTAATTGTGTTTGTGTTTCCAGCTCCTCCCCTCATCTCTAGCCCTCTCTCAGTATGAGCTCCTGCGGGACACGCTGTGTGAGCCGCAGCCCAATGAGAGGCTTTGGAAAATCACACCCAGGGTCCAAATCCTGGTCATCATACTGTAACTGGTTGCTTCTCCTGCAAGATAGATGGACATTTATTGAGTGGCATCTGACTGCTGAAATAACTATCCACCTGTATGCTCTCTTTCAAAGGCTCACACGCTTTCTCTGGTACTCAGTGGCCATGAACAGATGCAGATGCACACTTTAGTTTGATTTCATGTATTTGAGCAATCAAAGTAAGACTCCAAAGCTGTGAAAGAATAAATGATTGGTTATGGAATCAGTAAACAGTGTAGATTTGTGTTTGTGTAAGAATATCCATTGTACATTTCTTTTTTGTTGGCTCGTTGGAGGGAGTGTTTTTTTTTTATTTTCACTAATGGGTAATGTAGTGTTCCTATGTTTTTATACGCATGGGACTGTAATATATGACCTCAAAGTGGATGCAGGGACTGAGTGGACATAGGTAAAAACAGGCCGGATTAAGAGGTTCAGTCAAGATATTTAAATCCTAATTTAAACATGGAATGTCATACAGTATATTATCAATCAATAGATTGCGTTTGGTTTGGTAAGATTTTTTAAATGTTTTTGAAAGAAGTCTCTTATGCTTACCAAGGATGCATTTATTTGATCAAATAAACAGTAAAACATTAATATTGTGAAATATTATTAAAGTTAAAAATAACTTTAATATACTTTAAAATAAAGCTGAATTTTTATCAGCCATTATTCTAGTATCACATGATTAATCAGAAATCACCTTAATACTGTATGCTTGATTTGGTGCAAATAAACATTTCCTAATATTATTATTTATAGGATTCTTTGCTGAATAGAAATGTCAAAAGAGCAGCCTTTATTTGAAATGGAAATCTCTAGCAACAGTGTACAAGTCTTAACTGTCACGTTTTTATCAATTTAATGCATCCTTTCTGAATAAAAGTATTTCTTTTGCTGAAAGCAGTCCATTAAGCTTGATGAAATTGGCATTGAATATATTGTATGCCTGAACATACATTTAACTGGACTTTATAAAGACCTGCCAGATATTTCACAGTGTTGTCATACTTACTGCAGCATCAGATGAACATTGTACTTCTGAATATGTGAATAGATCAGAGCACATCAAATCTTGGCTCTTGTATTGTTAATTGTCTGGACCAGCTCTTTGTGTACTCTATCACTTTGTTTTGGGAAGTTGAAGAAGAGAAGAGTTCTAGTATGACGTGGTGGGAGATTGAAAGGCCCAAATAAAACCTTTTTTGTCCTACATCATTACTTTTGTAAACTGTGCTTTCTGTGAGGATTTGCATATTGTTCTTTTTAAGTGTTCAAGTGGTGATATTTTGAATTATAATTTTGAATAATGGGTGTATGAAGGGTTTAAGCAATCTGTCTTTCTCTGTCTCTTTTGTCTTCAGCAATGGCAGATTTTCATGTGCAGCCACGTTCAGTGCGTGCAGAGCTGGGAGGTGTTGGGCGATTTCAGTGCCAAATCCATGGTCTGCCTGAGCCAGTCATCAGCTGGGAAAGAGACGGGCAACCCGTGGATACCTCTGATGACAGGTACTACTCTAAATACATATGCTTACACACAATGGCATTTAAAGGGATGTACCCAGTGTTACTGGCACATACTGTACATGTCTCCTTCTCACTGTGGGCCTGTCTATGTTTGTCTTTTCTGTGCAGGTTTACTCTGTTGCCCACGGGTGTGCTGCAGATAACGGGTGTTTGCCCTGAGGACAGTGGGATGTACTGCTGTGTTGCACACAACAGTGCGGGAGTCAAACACAGTGCAGGAGCACAGCTCACAGTCTCGGGTATGCTCAAAAATTCTTCTCTGCTTTCTTGAGTCTTTCCAAATCATTTTCTTTCTGTAACTCATTTACCTTTTTCTTCCTGAAGGCTCCCAGTCATCTGTTTACAAAGAACCCATGATCTTAGTGGGCCCTGAAAACCTCACTCTCACAGTTCACCAGACCGCCATCTTGGAGTGTGTTGCCACGGGTTTTCCTCGCCCAATCGTTTCGTGGAGTAGACTGGGTAAGACTCGTTTAAGTTTCTCTCTAAATTGCCTCAAGTGGCTCTCAGAGCAAAACCCAGCACAGCTCCGGAGGGAATGCTGCAGAGAGCTTTAATGTGCTTTCCACTACACACTATTAGACTATAAAATACCCAATCAACTGACAAAGAGAAAAGGGAAAAATCTCCTCCAGCAAGGTAATGTAACGTGATGGAGGACAGAGATGAGAAGAAATGAGCCAATGGATCTATATCTAGAAAACCGTCTCTTAATTAGGTCCTAAATTATTTACATGTCTTATTTCTCTCCCTAAAGTCTACTTATGGTATTAGTTGAGGTGTCTTGTTTAGTAATTTAGTTAGAATTAAAGGCGTAGTTCACTCAAAACTGAAAATTCTGTCATAATTTACTCCCCCTTATGTTTTTTTCAAATCTGTATGACTTAGGTTGAAAAATGTTTGTTTTTTTATTCAGTGATGTTCTTTTGGAATCAATAAACTAATTACTTAGTCATATTTCAGAATCAGTGGCATAGCAAACTTTATAGGTTAATGTGGGCTCCAACAATCCTTATCTTAATGTCCTAAATGTCTTTTCTGAGGTAGATAACATTGCCTGAATATTCACATTGATGGTATAAATGATTGGAAATAATATTTAATGTTCATTAGCCTATTTGTAGCGCGCAGGCGTGTTTGCAGCATGTTTTGTAATGTGTTTGCTTTTAATATAACACAAATCTTAGCATGTAAATTCTTTCAATTTTATCACAAAGTACAAACAATAAATGTGTTTTTCTGCTCTTTAATGTGGTGTTAGATCATTGTATGTGAATCAATCATCTTTTCCTCTTTTCTACAGCACGAAATAAACATGAATGAATATCAGAAGACGTTAAAAAATCAGAACAATTTAATAAAACGAATGTCTCATAAAATCGATCATTTAAATTGTCAATAAAACAGCTTGTGAAGTCATAACAGTCATAGATAGATAGATAGATAGATAGATAGATAGACAGATAGATAGCCTTTGTGCACAGCTATTTTGACATCATATTTTGTCCAGTCCATTATGATTATCACTAGGGTTTAAAAACCACTGTTAGAGTACACTACACTGTAAAAAAAAAACATGTAAATAAAATGAAGATTATTAGAGAACTTTCACAGGAAAATACTATTTAAGTTTTTTTTTTTTACTTCAAAATGTCATGTTCAGTTCACTAGCAGTTTCTGAGTGAAGATAGTTTTTTTTTTTTCAGTATAACAAAATGTATCAAAAGTTCAGCAAGAACCCTCCATTCACCCAAGTTACTTGAGCACCAAATCAAACATATTTGACTGAATTCTGAATGATCATGTAACACTGAACACTGGAGTAATGGCTACTGAAAATTCAGTTTTAAAATAAAAAAAATAGTAATAATAATTCAGATTACATGAATAAATTCTGTTTTAAAATATAAAGAAATAGGAAATGTAGGTTTTAAATTGTAATAATATTTAACAGTATTACTGTTTTTAACATGTTTTTGGTTAAATCAATTCAGCCTTGGTGAGCATAAGAGGCTTCTTTCAACAACATCACAGAAATCTTACCGACCCCAAAGCTTTGAACATTATTGGCTTAGTACATCAATCTTGTTTAGCGAAAAAAAATCCAGAAAGTTCAATTTTTTGATTGTATGACCCTATTTAATAAAGCTGGCTGTTGTATTAAAGTAATTTACACTCCAATCTACCGAAGCCAAATGGTTTGGAATGGTGAAAGAAACTGTCATCCTTCCTGCTAAGACATGGATTTCACAGATCAATTTGGCTCATACTGTACAGTGAGATTGGTTTCTGTGTGAAAAATAGCTCATTTATTTTTAAGTGTGCTCAGAGTTCTGAAGCCACACGCTTGAAAATGGTTTCAGACAATTTTGGTCATCGGATGCTCTTTGCCACATCTGTCTGTCTTATCTTGATAAGGATTAATGGAGATAAAAAAAGAGTGTCTCATCTTTACTTCTGAGGTTGTGTTAGAGTGATTGATGTAATTTTTGTGTTGGAACATGTTTATATCTGCATTTGTGTGTGTGTGTGTCCCTGCATTAAAATGAGGAAAATATTTTTTCTTCTGAATCATCCCATCTTGAGGCCTGTAGCATTTTGTCTTTGCATTTAAATAACCAGTTCAGACCATATTTATGTATTTTAAGGTTAACATATCCTACTTACATTTACTCTCCGACTCATGTCAACCGCTCTCTCTCAAGCAAGATTTCACAGTGACTCCCACACTTGTATAATAATCCATTCTCAACTCTTTCTTTTCTCCCAGCTATTATCTAATGTGATTCTCCCATTAAGAATGTAAATGATGGTCTCTTCCTGTAACGGCTGCTAATCAGATTGTGGATATTACCTTCTGCAATGTTGCTGGAATTAACTGCTAACACAATGGGATTTTGCTGGATTAGATTACAACCAGAGCAAATCATGGCTAAGCTAGTAATGAATGTGATAGATCTCCAGCAGTTAGTGATTAATGCCATTAATGCCATTTTGCATTTGTCATCTTCTTTAGGAGCCCGGTGTTTTCCTGAGTTCAGTTTGCTCAAATGCATACATCCAAGCTGATTCACACCTACCTGTAAGCGCACACATTATGGGAAGAAAGGCCTGGCCAGTAAAACATGATACAAACATGTTGTCAAGGAGGAATAGATTAGCCTGTTACAGCATCTGCAACCTAAAAATCTGTCCCCATTTACTACTTTCATCCCAGTGTCGTTCTTACAGTTGAGTTTGATTTGGACCTGTGGTCCAAAACAGTAGTAAGAATAATGACATGGACAATAATATTCACACAAAGCGACAACAATCCAATAATGCACATTGGCTGCAGATTTGCTATCAGGCTTAGTATAACTGCTGCAGCCTCTTCCGTTCTTAATCTAAGCATTTTTTAGGATTTTTTTTTTTCACAATTTCTTCAATTTCTGTAGGTATTTTTGCTGAATAGAATTATTTATTATGTTGGCGCCAATAGCCTCGTGGTTAGTGCTTCGACACATAGTGCAACTGCGTTCATGGCAACCCAAGTTCAATTCCCGTCTCGAGGTCCTTTGCTAATCCTGCTCCCCTCTCTCCTCCCAGTGCTTTCCTGTCATCTCTCTACTGTCATATCTCATTAAAAAAGGCATTAAAAGCCCATCAAAATAACTTATTAAAAAAATGTCATTATTATTTAATTGTATCCCTTTTACCCATTTTTCAGTCTTGATATTCCCACAAGACTAGCTGGTAAAAACTGGTTATCATAGCCATCAAATGTGTCCCCATTTACTACTTTCATCCCAGTGTCGTTCTTACAGTTGAGTTTGATTTGGACCTGTGGTCCAAAACAGTAGTAAGAATAATGACATGGACAATAATATTCACACAAAGCGACAACAATCCAATAATGCACATTGGCTGCAGATTTGCTATCAGGCTTGGTATAACTGCTGCAGCCTCTTCCGTTCTTAATCTAAGCATTTTTTAGGATTTTTTTTTTTCACAATTTCTGTAGGTATTTTTGCTGAATAGAATTATTTATTATGTTGGCGCCAATAGCCTCGTGGTTAGTGCTTCGACACATAGTGTAACTGCGTTCATGGCAACCCAAGTTCGATTCCCGTCTCGAGGTCCTTTGCTAATCCTGCTCCCCTCTCTCCTCCCAGTGCTTTCCTGTCATCTCTCTACTGTCATATCTCATTAAAAAAGGCATTAAAAGCCCATCAAAATAACTTATTAAAAAAATGTCATTATTATTTAATTGTATCCCTTTTACCCATTTTTCAGTCTTGATATTCCCACAAGACTAGCTGGTAAAAACTGGTTATCATAGCCATCAAATGTTTAATTTGTGTTTTTGAGTGGAGGGCCTGGTTTTGACCTGGAAGACCTGCAGAAACCGTCTATCATGTTCCAAATCCAGTTTAACCACCTTAAGCTAAGAATAGACCGTTTTTACAATTGACATGCCCTGTATAGAGTTTCTAGATCACTTCAAAACTTTCAACTTCAAAACTTTTGAGTTTTTGTTTTTAGAAGATATTTCATCAGCAGATCAGTTAGCATGTTGTTAAATGCTATAATTGTACAATCTGTGAAACACACTGTATATTTACTTCTCTCTCACAGCCTCATTTTTATTCCTGTCAAAAATGAAATATGCTGCTACTCTGACTTGGGTCTGTCAGGCACTGTGCACACACACACTTATGTCAGTTTCTCTGTGATATTTCATTGAACGTGTTAATTAACTCATGAAAGGATAAAAGAGTGAAAAATAACTTATTAAAAAAATGTCATTATTATTTAATTGTATCCCTTTTACCCATTTTTCAGTCTTGATATTCCCACAAGACTAGCTGGCAAAAACTGGTTATCATAGCCATCAAATGTTTAATTTGTGTTTTTGAGTGGAGGGCCTGGTTTTGACCTGGAAGACCTGCAGAAACCGTCTATCATGTTCCAAATCCAGTTTAACTACCTTAAGCTAAGAATAGACCGTTTTTACAATTGACATGCCCTGTATAGAGTTTCTAGATCACTTCAAAACTTTCAACTTCAGAGTTTTTGTTTTTAGAAGATATTTCATCAGCAGATCAGTTAGCATGTTGTTAAATGCTATAATTGTACAATCTGTGAAACACACTGTATATTTACTTCTCTCTCACAGCCTCATTTTTATTCCTGTCAAAAATGAAATATGCTGCTACTCTAACTTGGGTCTGTCAGGCACTGTGCACACACACACTTATGTCAGTTTCTCTGTGATATTTCATTGAACGTGTTAATTAACTCATGAAAGGATAAAAGAGTGTATCTCTAAAGACAGATGAATGTCTATCATTAACTGTGTGAAACCGGATTGAGAAGCTTCAAACAGCTGCTGACTGAAAAGTGGAAATGTTTGTGCAAATCACAACAGATGCCAGTCAATTAAATCTGGTGATATGTGAACTGCACCCTGCCTAACACTGCGTCTGCAGTGTCATTTTGATAGGCACATTAACAAAACAGAATGAGAGACCTGAGAGGCCAGTAATATGAATGGAAGATGTGATTAGTGGGATTGTTAATTTTTATTAGCACTTTTCCTCACTGAGTGTCCAATTGTAGCGAGCGAGTGAGTGAGATGATCTAGACTGATACGGTTTATAGTTGCTGATGTGATTCAGTGCTCATGCAGAAGTGTGTGTGTGTGTGTTCTACACATGTATGGGAGATATCCATGGTAACATGGTATATCCTGCGTCATTGGTGTTCATAGGGCGTCTCGTATGTCCAAAGCCCCCCAGACCCTCACTTTATCTCGGTACACTTTTTATATATGAGAGGTGGTGTTTTTTCTCTCTCATTCTCTCTGACTCGAGAGAATGAGATTTTCCTCGCCCCAGGGCAGAACGAAGGATGGTGCTTTGTGCTCCATAATTAGTCACATTTAACCGGTGCTGTTAAATTCTGAGGCTCATCACATGCTTCTGTTGTTCTGTTAAATTTATTTTTAGTTCCTCTGGAGCAGGAAATTATTTTATAGCTGGATATTCATGTGATTCTATCTTCTCTCCAATGCCTCTTTTTATTCCCTCTACTGATCTCTTTAATTCTCTTTGAAATTATCTTTATGGCCCTTTCTCTTGTCTTTTGTCTGTCTTTGTCAACACTATGCCTTCAACTCTCTTTCAGATGGCCGGCCAATAGGAGTTGAGGGTATCCAGGTTTTAGGAACAGGAAACCTGATCTTTTTGTCTTAGTGTTTAAAATATTTATTTTGAAACGAATTAATTAAACAAACAGACTTACTTGGTGAACAGGGTAGGTCATATCATACCCTACCATGCCCAGCTGATGCAAAGAATAGAATTTATATCTACACAGAAGAAAGCCCTGTCTAGACTCTGCCCAGGTATGAGTTGTGTCGAGCTATTCATTAGCCTGTTTGTTTGATGAAAAAAGACTAAATGTAGTTGCAATAAATGTGTTAAGAATCCGTACAACTGCAGCAGTGGAGGACTATTATTCTGCTGCGTGATACTGTGGAAGAACTGATGATGGCACAGTTTGATATTCGGCTGACCAATCAGCAGAAAGGGGCATTTAATTCCCGCCCACATGTAGAAATCAAATATTCAAGCTGTTTATTCATTTTTCCACCCAAGAACGAAAAACGAAAATGTAATTTCGAAAACTGAATTCTCGTTTTTCATGTTTTGGAAACAAACGAAAATACGAAAAAGGAGCCGTTTTCTAATTTTTCTACTTTCAATATTAAATAAAAAACTAATGATCGAATGATACACGGATTCATATTGACCAACAATGCAAGAGAGATTGCACAACATTGTTATTTTAGTGTTATTTATGCACTGAATCCTTTTTATTTATTTTTTTATATTTAAATTTCTATATGTTTTAGTTTAAGTAATTTTGTTGTGCTTTTTGGTAATTGTATTAGTTTTTTGTAAATCTATTTCTATAGCTTTATTTCAGTTTTAGTGCTAGTAATTGCAGTACTTCAGCTTATTTCAGTTGCAACATTTCATGTTCTTGTTAAGTTTTAAGTTTATCTACACTGCACTAAAAATTTAATTATTGTCAAGATACTGAAAACAAACAAAAAAAAACATTAATTTAGTAGCATCACTACTTGTAGTTAATTTCTCCTGAGTAACACTACATACAACATCCAAATGGTCATACTGGAAGTGCCTTTGGCGTCAGTGACTGAATCTCAGCAGCTGTAAACCGTGATAGCGGGAGCAGCACTGTAGGTGTAGCTGAGAATTGATATGATCTTAGTAGCCAGATGGTGTAGCAGCCTTTTGCTCACTGCAATACTCTTCATTTACCTTAAAGAGATAGAGGGAGAGAGAGTAAGAGAGGTGTTTTAAAAAATGTAATGTAAAAAATGGGTAGTAAGAAGGAAAAAATGAAATCCCGGGACAGAACTAAATGAGAGAAAAGGGGAGATAAGAAAAGAAGGAAGAGATGTCTCAGATGATATATCACAGTGATACATCAATACTCTCTGCCTCAACCCTTCCCCCATTCTCTCTCGATCTCTCTTGTGCTCTCAGGGATAAGAGAAGAAAAAAGAGAGCACTAATTTGCAGGGCTGTGAGATGCACTGGATGGACCTCTGAGAGCAGTTAGATCCTCTCTTATCATTTATTTATTGAGAGAAGCTGGTAACACTGAAAATAAAGGAGAGAGACTGAGAGCAAGATCAACACTTGCCGATTAAAGGACTAATAATTAAAGTCACCCTGAACGAATATGAAAGGTGTGCTGGTAATTAAAATGGATATAAATGAGCAAACGGTTGCTAATCAGTAAGCAATTTCAAATTTTCCCAGATTAAATGTGTCCTAATTAAGCAGTAAATGACTATTGGATTAGCTGCGTTCTGTGTCAGTTGGCAGCATTGCCACGTGGTGAATGAGGAGGAGGGGGGTATCTGGTGAGGTTGGGGGCAGCAGAAGGCTCTGGGGGTCTCAAAGAGGTGTACGTTCCAAGTATCCCTTCCAAGCCCCCCACATCTGTTCTGCAGCACTTAATCAGTTTTAATTTTCACACTATGTCATTAATGGATTGTCAGCTTCCTCTCCAGGCCCTGGGAAATCAGTTTTTTTGCCCTACTCTAATCGAGTTAATCTGATGCTTTCTCTAAGTTTATTTCTGTTTCCACCCACTGCTGTCACAGTACATTCATTATATATGTGATAAAGCCAAAGCCACGTAGACAATCTCCCTCCCTCTCTTGGCATTGTGTGCATGGTGGTTTTCTTCTTCGTTAATAGCATATATGTGGCATATGGAAATGGAACTGGGTAAAAATGGAAACATTAGTGCAGTCACCTAGTGAATTTACTGAGAAATATTCCAACAGCTATGGAGGTTTCAGAAATGTTGAGCCTTTTTATTTAATGATCTCTTGTTTTGTATTGCCAATAATGGAGTTCTCATTATCTCTTGCTTACTCTTTCTCTGTATCTGTCTGCAGCCCCTGCAGAGTTTGTGCAGCCCCCTCAGTCTATTGCTCGCCCGGTGGGCACCACTGCCATCTTCACTTGTCTGGCCCAGGGCGAGCCGGTCCCACAGATCACCTGGCTGAAAAATGGACAAATCTTAGAGCCCGATGGCCATGTCAAACTCAGGAACAACAACAGGTGAGCTGGAAAAGACCAGTGTTATGTATGTACTATTTTTATATTGATATATTTATATTATTGATATTGATTCATATTTTGAATTGGTTTTCTTTTAGGCAGCGGCTATTGAGCCATTTACACTAAGTGAAAATAGCATATTTTCTTAGCAATAGATGCTATTTACACTAAGTGCAAATAGCGATGGATTCTATTTACACTAAGTGAAAATAGCAGTATTTTAACGATATGCTACTTACACTAAGTGCATATATTAGCTATAAATTCTATTTAAACTATTTCAAAATGGCAAGATTTTCTGCTATTTATACTACTTATTGCAAATAGTGGCAATTATCTGCACCTCAGTATTGTAGTACATAAACCGTACGCAATAATAACGTATTGAGTGTAAATTATAATATTAATTCAAATTATTAAATGGATGCCACCTTATTGGGACAATAAAGCACTTACCCTAACACTACCCGATACTTTATTTACAACTTTTTGATTATTTCCTTCATTTTTATTGAAAATAAATGCCTTTCCGATGTGATATGAGATTTGAAAAGGGAGAAAAAAAGTTTGGCAAATGGCAGATTCGAACTCGGGTTGATCTCATCAAAAAGCACACACCTTACCAGATACGCCACTGGAACTGACGTTTGTCGAACGTCTTTTGTAGTCTTGAGTAACCCAATCTCACGTTGGTGGGCGGAGGTAGTGTAAATGGCCTCTGCCAACAAGGCGGGCTATTTGCACTTAGTTTTCTCTTCTTTTTTTTTTTGGTTTTAGTAATTTTGTTATGTGCGTTTGTCTTTATTTTTTACTTCAGTTTTAGTTTTGGTCAACTTCAAGCCTATTTCAGTTAGTTGCTAAGGCAGCATTTGATATTTTAGAGTTCTAGTTTCAGTTTACAATAACAACACTGATAAAGCCGTGATGTAATATAGCTTCAATTTTTTTCCCAAGATCTGTTTCCATGTTGTATAAGGAATGCGGTAAGCTAATGTATAATAAGGAATTGTGTAAGCTAAATAAATTTTGCTTACATAGCTGTACACTGCTGCCCATCGATTCCAGAGTTACTCATTTGCACAATGTAATTTATTACATTTGGAGTCACCTTACAGAAGGCTTTAGTGAAGGCCATTGCTGTTTGTGTCATTGAAGGACATTTTAAAGTTGCTGGTTGTCCTTTTCTAGCCACAGTGTTATGACAACCACGTAAGGACGCCACTTGTCGAGGTCAGTAGGACACATGGTCCCGCATTCTTCTGATCTAGGACGTATTGTGTCTGCTATGAAAGACACTCAGCTTTCTGTTTATCTTTGCTTTTATTTTCCCCCCTGCTGTTTTGGTTATGATCATGTGTTTGTAAATTAAACGTGATTCCTTGTCAGTCGCTATAAATGTTTTATTGCCTGGGAGTTAAAGAGTATGTTTACGATGTGAGAGAAAATCAATTTCATCGAGGTTCAAATTTATAACAGCAAAGATGGAGAACTGCTTTTCATTGCTAGAAGAAATCAGTTGGGAAAGACAAAAAGGCTGGGACAGGCATGGCCTAACTGGAGTGAAAAGAAGCAGGTATGCAGAGAAAGCGCGTAGGAGTGGATAAGTTGGAATCTCTGAGTCTGAGCAGCACCATTAGCTAATTGACTCATAAAGTGGAGCAGTGAGCAGAGAATGAGTCCGTTCCTCTTATTGATTCATTCTTATACATTGCTGGCCCATATGTGTTGACACAACATCAGTTCTGTGTATTTTAAAGGATTACACACAAATTGTGTAATCTTGTTTTACTGTACATTTTAGTGTGTGTAATTTTTGCTTGCGTCTCTTGCATCACCAAACTGAATTGCAAAACTCATTTTATAAATGAGTAATAATAATAATTATGTTTAGTGTTGCTCATGTCATGATGTTGTGTGGTTTCATAAGGGTTATGAGTGATTCACCAAGAATGATAACTATAATGATAAATGCATTACCATCCACTCACCAACAGACTATAATGTTATGTTTATTGTAAACGACAACGTACACTGTCATTTTGTCATCTGCCATTTTAGACGCTAAAGCTCTTTAAAAAAAAAAAAATCACTTTGAGGAAATTATAGTTTCTTTGTGTCACTATCGTTATAGCTGTGGTGTGAATCTCTCTATTCTCATAGAATTTGAATTATTATTAAAACTTTACAGTAATAGTTATTTATATATCGTCTCTTACATTGAAAGTATTTATTTTATAAGTTCATGCTCTGGGAATCAAACCCATGATCTTGGTGTTGCTGGCACCGCTGTATGAGCTATGTGCTTCTTTACTAAATGACACTCTGTGGGATTCTTTTGCTTGTTTCATCATCCACTGCTGGAATATCATAATTCTGAAAAGTAATAACACACCTCTCCTGGATAAATCTATGCGATTGTTGCTCTGCACATTAAACTGGGATAAGAGAGCGTATCGAAAACAATTACACAATTCACCTTAATTGTGTTTTATTGTCAGCTCTTGTGCTTACGTCATCTCTGATACTTAGCAGCATTTTTTCAGAGTGGAAACATCACAAGCATGTTAAGCAGCCTATATAATGATAGTTGTGTGTTTGTTTATCAATGTTGGTTGGGGGATTCTCTGCCTGCCAACAGGCAACCCAGCTTCCTCACAGACAGACAGGGAGATGTTGACCTTCAAGAGGTTCAGAGAGACAATCGATTATACATTTAACAAACTTGCATGTGCACACATTAATCCAGAGCTCACATATAGGCAGCCTCCCCAAACATGTGTCATATGCTTACAGTGACATGTAAACATACACATACAACATGTACAAACTCACTAGCTTGTCCTTTTGCCCTCACCTCTCTTTTGTACATTTTGTACGCTCTCACGTACCTCCACTGAGACGTACACTGGCATTTACATGTATCTGGAACAAGAGTTCAGGCTGTTTTCATTTTTAACATCAGCCATTTATCAATTATTGGCCATAACAAGAAATGTAATATTGTTGCATCCATAATAATAATTCCCAGTATATTTGTTGTTTATTTAGATATGTTGTTTGTTTATTGTTGTTTGTTTGTGTGTGTGTGTGTGTGTGTGTGTGTGTGTGTGTGTGTGTGTCAGCTTTTTTTTTAAGGTTTAGATGACTTTTGCCATAAACAGCACTAACCTAAAGTTAAAGGAAACTAACTTTTGAAGAGCACTACAATTCCCAGTTGTGTTTTTAGATATGTTGTTTGTTTATTGTTGTGTGTTTGTGTGTGTGTGTGTGTGTGTGTGTGTGTGTGTGTGTGTGTGTCAGCTTTTTTTTTAAGGTTTAGATGACTTTTGCCATAAACAGCACTAACCTAAAGTTAAAGGAAACTAACTTTTGAAGAGCACTTTCCCTGTAAGGGTGTGTTGGATTCAGTTGCTGTGCACATATAGATTACTGTAGAGTATAGAGCATTTGTGAACAAGAACGAGTTTGTTTGAGTTTTTAGTGTTCTTTAGATTTATAATCAGCTATTTATTTGTCATTGGCCATATCAATTATTGGACAGTATCAGTATTTAAATTTCAATATTGGTGCATCCCTAAATTACACCAAAATAATGTAATCTAATTTAAAGGGGTCATCGGATGGCCATTTTCCACAAGTTGATATGATTCTTTAGGGTCTTAATGAAAAGTCTATAACATACTTTGGTCAAAATTTCTCAATGGTAGTGTAAAAAACCACCCTTTTTACCTTGTTAAAATCAGCTCTTTTTATAGCAAGCCGTTTCCTTTCATGTTGCTTTAAATGCTAATGAGCTCTGCTCACCCCGCCCCTCTCTTCCGTGGGGTGACGAGCAGACTATAAACTTTAGCCGTGAAACTTGCTAACTAGCACATTATTAGGAAAGGCGATTTGCAAAGATTCATAAAAAACCCTTATACTCACTTCATCTGTTGATGAAGCTGGATCACAAATGATTTGTGCGAACAGATGCGTTTAGGTAGATCGGACACACATTCCCTTCAAAAACAAAAGTAATGTTAATCCTCTGCGTCTTCAGCGGCTCAGATGTCAGGAGTAAATGGCGACTGCTATGTTCATTATTACATCCAACAACAAAACAGCTCAACCGCTTAATCGCAGACATTCTTGTCTTCCCTGCACCCGAGTCGACACAATGGTGGACTGATGACAGCTCACTCAGGGCAGGTCTAATGTAAGATGGCCTTGTCAATCAACTATCGTGGGAGGGGCCTGTGCAGAACTACGTCATTCTGCCAGGAATCTCAGAACAGCCTGATTTGAGAAAGGGTATTTTAAAATAGGGATTTAAAAAAAAACACTGGGTGGATTTTTAGCATTATAGGGTGGATGTGTACACACACTTCCAACACACATTTATGTTCAAACAACATGTAAAGTGAATTTTGCATCCGATGACCCCTTTTTGATTTCATTATATTATTGCATTATTTAATACTGAATCAAACGTGAGTGTGCGCTCTGTATCCGTGGAGGTTTGCAGACATGTGTTAGAGTGCTGCAGGCAGAGCAGAGGTCATGCGGTTCAGTAGATGCAGGAGCAGAGGGTGGGGTCACTGCCTGCTCCATAAACATAAAACACTATTACAGCAGTAATCAAAATGCCACAGTGACCCGCAGTCAAATCACACAGCACCGGCCAGCTCTTAGAAGGACTTTGAAGGTGGTTATTTATTATGTCTGTATTTCACATACTGCACATACATGCATGTGTGAATGCGTATTATAGCTGCGTTTGTGCTTGATATCGGTAATCTTGTGCTTTGTATTTCAAAGAGGGGCTTCATTCACTGAGGGGCTTTTTTGCCCTGTTTTCAAGTTTGGTCCATCATGTTTTTTCATTGCTGAAATGTAAAATGTTCGTATACAAGGAGACACAGTGCAGTGGGTGATGCACATGCTCATGGATGCAGATTTGAATCTAGCTTACTTTCCGCCTACATTTCTGTCCAGTCTCTACTGTCTTCTAAGTTGAATTT